TGTAACATTTTACATGAAAAGTTATGTTGCAAGTCAAAGTAGAATACTGTATTAGCCCCCTTTACATGGTGTTCTTTTATAATAGTTCCCACAAAAAAATTTCCACAAGCTGTTGTCCTAATATGATCCAGGTCTACATCCTCTGTGCTGTTCTTGTCTCAACAGCTACTGTTTTCAACACTGAGACTCATACTTCAGAGTATAAAATTGTTTTTTAAAATATCTACAGATTCCTAGAGGACCAAACACATCAAGTATAGCCACTGTATGAAAGAGAAAATTTGTGAGCAAACAGGCACACGAAAGAACCATCATCCAAGTCCAGCACTTCTGCCCTTCAGCCTACAACTCAGCCATATTCATAGAACTTGCACGTTCTGGTAAGAAATACATAAAGATTTCTGAAGTCTGCCCCTCTGCATGCTAAATTGACAGATATGAGGTGTAAGACTAGCTTTGCCAGGTTAAACAAGGCTATTAAAACAGCATACCCAACTTTACTGGCACTAAAATGGAACAGTGGTGCCAAAGATTCTAAAAGAAAGAAATATTAAGTAATATTGCACCTCTGACATTGACATAAATTTATTATTACTCTATGCCAGTCTACCTTGATCCAAATCCTCTAAATGTGTGCTGTTAAGAATGCTGGGCCTCCCTTAAGCCTGCAAATTATAACGAATAGTGCAGCGGTTTTTCAATTTGGTCAAAAATTAGACCAAAACCACTGCATGGAAGGACAATGGATCATTAGCTCATTATCTAGCCCATTACTTTTTTCGGAAACACATTGCCTTATGTGTGTTCCCATGCCATCCTGTCGGACTCACCACAGCTGTTTTGTTGCCAATGTTTTTATTTCTTCCACACCTTTGGTAGGGAGCCCTCAACAGAACCTGTCCTGTCCTCCAAGTATAACAGCTATCCAGAAAGAAGAAGAAACAGCGTCAACTCTGAAAGGAAGCTTTTCTGGTTTTGGTTTGGTCTCCTCTCTGTTTTTCAACATGGCAGATAACAGTAATGTACACAAGAGAAATAATATAGAATTAGAAATTGCACCATTCCAAGTTACATATTCCTTCTTACTCAGTTTCAGGTTATTACTGACAGAAGTATTTTTAAGCACTATATACAAATTTTTCCTTGTTCATTTACTTGAATACAACCATTAAAACAATATTATTTGAGGCTGAGTGAAGCACTTCAGAGTGAGTGGAGAGAGATGTAGCCATCTATCTTGCATCAACAAGTGAAGGCACAAAAATAACTGGTTATCACAAGTCCTCACATCCAAAGCAAGTAAAAATGCACAGACATAAAATTTGTCCCTGCACAGAAAAAAGAAAACTGAGACAACCATTATAATATCGCAGTTGTAAGAATCTCATGTCTAGAGGGAAATTAAGAAGAACTAGAAGCACTTCCTTCACTTCCAGCAGGGTTTTCATGAGAGTTAAGACAGCAACCAGGACAATGTCATGAACGAAGGTACATAAAGGCATGCAAGCCACTAGATGGCCCAGTAATTGTTTCACAAGTGTCATGTGAAACAGTCCATGCTGCCTTCCACCCACTGAATTCTCCACAGCTGTGTGCATAATTAATTTCTAAATGCTCAACATGCAAATGTCTGGCTACCATCACTTGAAGTGAAAACAATAGTGGAATAGTGGAAGAAGTGGCCAAAAAGTCAGAAGAAGACGACGAGCAAAAACTGGAGGAATACAAGAGCCATGTGCAACCCAGTAAGGAGTAAAGGACAAAAGCATAATTAGATTCAGGCAAAGGATAATATTACTGCAATTGATATATATTAAGTACCTTTTCAACAAAATTTATTCTTATATATGGATGCTACTGGACAGGTATGTTGTCAAAACTGGAAAGAAAAGAGATATATTGGACAATCTTTTTCTTAAAGCACAGCATTGACCACTGGACTATCTGAAAATCCCTGAAAAGTGACTGTTCAAAAATATTACAATAAGAATTCTACATCACTAGGGATTACTACTATACATAGTTCAACATATTTCTGAAATAACACATGACTGAATGAACAACCTACCCATGGTCAAAAAGGAGCTGTCCTCCCTTTGCCTTTGACAGAACACAAAGGCTCTAGGAGGTATGAATGCCCTGGGACACATAACATCACGTAGAAAGGATAAAATTATCTAGAAAAGCTTCTTGAAAAAAAAGTAGACAGACGCGGAACATCTTCCCCTCTACATGCAAGTACTGTGGTCCAGAGATGAGATGGCACCTGCTGCCAAGGATGCTGGGATGCTCAAGGAGGCTAACCATGATCTAACCGGTACTGTCAAAATGAAGTTGAACATTTGGGTTAACTGGACAAGTTGTATTTTTTTTCAGATGAATCTAAAAGCCTGGATTTCCATTGGTGACATACAGAATTTTGTACACGAGATATATGAAAAGTAATTCCTTTATGGAATCATACTCTAGATTTATTTAAATAACAGGGGTGAGTAGAGCAGGACGATATTTAAACCAATTTTTTCTCTCATCAAATTATATGTAGGAGAATTTATCTCCAACCATACTGACAATAAGGCATAATGATCCAAAGCTGAAAATGTGACCTAAGGGTAGTTTTTTAAATGCATTTTCCAAATATGATATTCTTTCCCTGTAACTTGAGTGAGTGTGTGTTGATGGTATG